AGCTTTGGGAGGAACTGGAAACGTTCTTCTTGTAGATAATGCCCTGTCCTCCAGGCGTGTATGCCCCCACGCATGCATGTATATATATATATATGCATGGAATGCATGAACATGTCTAGCCTAGCCGTCTAGCAATTGCTTTGAAGAAGCCTCATGACATGACATGGTTTCATGCGTGGAATGGCATGCTTGCATGCATGACATGGCTCCATGAATGCATGGAATGGCATGCTTGCATGCATGACATGGTGTGATGATAATGGCATGTTTCACTTGGAATGAACATGAAGTTCATGACATGAAATGTTTGCACGCATGCATGCATGCATGGTATAATCATGACATGGTTCGCATGGAATGAACATGACATGCCAGCCTGTGCTGGAATCAGTGCCACCAAGTGCCTCAGAGCGCCCGCAATCTGGTCGTCCTGAGCCAAAGAAAATAGATGTGAATCCTGGCGTGAAACATATAAGTACATGATCCACACACCTATTAACTCAACTGCTAATGAACAAGGCTGCTGGCTTCTTCTAGGACCTCTATGGTATCCTTTGAAACCTCAGCATACAAAAAAAGGCCATGCACAACACCCAATAGGAAGACACTTCAGTGAGGCACTGAAAGAGCCTGGAACACAGCTTTCCACGCATCTTCTGATTCCTAGGTGAAGCAGTAGACAACATATAAATATATAGTTTTGTCTCGAATGCGTTCTATATAGCAGAGGTCCAAACTGCTGGAATATTGAAGGGCGGACTTCCATCACTTGGGTACGCCAAAGGCCCCCATTCATTGTTGGCCTTCCATGCAAAGCATGAACCCATATGCCCATGCATATTTCACAGATTGTTCCAGAACATATGTAGGAAGGACCCTGCCTCATTCTTGCCCTTTTCATCATCCCCGTTCTGCTTACTGCTACTGGCCTTTGTTTTTTCCATTAAGCCCATCGTCAAAAAGGCTGCAGATAAGAAGATCAGCTGAGGACAAATGGACTCTCTAGTTTATGAAGGCCAGGCTTTAGCTGCAGCTGGTGAAATCACAATTGGACAGAAGCGGGCACGATGGCAAGTTGCTGAAACCCACACAGACAAAGTCCAGTACCTGGAAAATGCCAATGGAAGGGCCCATACAAATAACATGTCTTGGAATGATCGCTAAATCAGCAAATGATCACTTGCAAAATGATCGTTTCAGCTCTGGTTCAAACCGCTCAATGCAAAGGTGGTCCCTTGCAGAATGGATCATTCTCCCAGGCATGCTCTCTCGCACGCGTGAAAACCCAAGCATAGCCACGATTTCACGTGAAAATGCAAACCCCACTATGCGCCACCGCGCACAAACTCCCACACCTGAGCAAACAAGCAAGCAGCTGTTGGCAACAGCATCAACAAATGAGGCACAGACAAGCCCTCAGATAGAACTCGCGATAGCTCTCCTAGCCTTAGTTCCAAGAAACATATTATGAACACGGGCACGATGAGTTTCGAGAAGTGGCCTCTTGACCTTTCTTCTTTGCTTCCTCATCATCCAGCCCTTCCTTCAAAGCTGCTTTCCTGGCCTTGTGGTATGCTGAATCCTTCATTGAAGCTATTCGTCGAGCCACCTCTGAGGCTACCTTCCTTTTGCGCGTATCCTTGCTTGTGGTACTTGTGGTAGACCTCCTTGTTTTCGCCTTTGCCTTTGCTTTTGCTTTTGGACCTGGCTTTGCTTTGGATGCTCTTGCCTTTGCCTTTGCTTTGGCCTTTTTTTTAGGCCCTGGCTTGGCTCTTCTGCCCTTCCCTTTCCCGGGCATTTCCTCACCCTCCCCATCTTTCTCATCTTCTTCATCATCCTGAGAGTCATCTTCACCATCCTCCTCCTCCTCCTCTTCCTTCGCTTCTCCCTTCTTTCTCCTCCTCCTGGGTGGTGGAGGCAAAGCTTTTTGCCCCAGCAAGCCCTTGCATTCACCGGGTGCTTCATGTTCCTTTGTTGATTGTCACGTATTTTCACAAACATATGAAGTTGATTCATCCACATGCCCTAGATGCAAACAAGGTGCCGCAGGTTTCAGCTCCTCATCCCATATCTCCTCGATGTTGTCCATATCAACCGGACAGCCTTATGTCACATATTCATATACATGTATGAGCGTGCGTGGGACATGGCTGAGATTTTGTTCATGCTAGCTGTCAGCCCCTGTAGGGCAACATATAACATACATGTATTTTACCAGTCATGCCTCCAATCAAGTTAAGTGCTCATAGTACTCAGCTCCATGCTTCTTCCAGCACCTTTGGACTCAATGATCTTCAAAGCTTTCGAGTTGCTGTCAGTCTTGTCATTGCATGCCAGAAAAGCTTTTTGGCGTCGAACAGGCGCCGCTTTTCCTTCATGCTCTGGTAGGCACTTAGAGAGACTGGCTGCCTCTGCAGCGTGCATCTCCAATTGCTTTTTCAACTGCGCTTCTTCGCTAGCCAGTGCTTCCAGTCTTCTCTTCAGATTCTCTTGTTCGACCTTCCTTTGTTTAGCCTCTCGTAAAGCCTTCTCCTCAGTCTTTTTCTTCTCCTCTAGGACTTCCTTTTCTTCTGCCTCACGCAATGCCTTCTCCTCAGCTGCTTTCTTCCTCT